TGATAATCTTTTGCAGGTTTAAATCTTCAAAGATAAGATAAACCAACCAAAATTTCCAGTGGATAGTTCATAATGAGAAGAACTCATCCAATGAGGGAGAAGAAGTTCATAATGAGAATAACTTGTTCAACCTTTGCTCAACGTTTCTAGTGGAGAGTTAATAATGAGAAGAACTCATCCAACAATGGAGAAGAAGTTCATAATTAGAAGAACTTGTTCAACCCTTGTTCAACGTTTCCAGTGGAGAGTTCATAATGAGGAGAACTCATCTAATGAGGGAGAAGAAGTTCATAATGAGAAAAACTTGTTCAACCTTGGCTCAACATTTCCAGTGGAGAGTTCATAATGAGAAGAACTCATCCGATGAGGGAGAAGAAGTTCATAATGAGAAGAACTTGTTCAACCATAGCTCGATTCATCACATATGGAGTTGAATCAGTAACACCTCACTCGAGGGATCAACATTTCCAATGGAGAATTAATAATGAGAAGAACTCATCCAATGAGGGAGAAGAAGTTCATAATGAGAAGAAATTGTTCAACATTGGTTAAATTCCATCACAGAAGAAGGTAGATCAACATTTCTAGTGGAGATTTCATAATGAGAGGAACTCATCCAACGACGAAGAAGAAGTTCATAATGAGAATAACTTGTTCAACCTTGGTTCGATTCTATCACAGAAGGAGGTGGATCAACATTTCCAGTAGAGAGCTCATAATGAGAAAAACTCATCTGACGAGGGAGAAGAAGTTCATAATGAGAAGAACTTGTTCAACCTTGGTGATTCCATCACAGAAGGAGGTGGATTGACATCCCCATCGAAGAGTTCAAATGAGAAGAACACGTCCGATCAGAAGAAATTGACATCCCTGTTCCACAATAATGAGCAAAGAGGGGCATATGTAAACACCATTTCTTATTATTATTTGTTTTGGTTTTTATCATTATTTTATTATGAAAAAAAGAATAAATATTGTAATGGTTGGGGTTATTAATACCCCAACCAACCCTTGTAAAATCACATCCCCTTTCACCGAAAAGATGAAATGAAAGAGGTTTTTTTTTTACTTTTGGTTTTCTCTCCATTTTGCATTCTTTCTTTTCATTCTTTCGTGATAGCTTGTTAATAGGATAGGGAGTAGCCACCGATGAGCGGTGGTCGGTGGGCGAGGAAGACCGACATACAGTCCGACCATGCTGGTTTTTGGTAGTCGACTGAGGTTTGGGAGTTTCGACTAAAAGGGTGTTGTTTGGAGAGTTTGTTTTTAGGGTTCAAGTTTGTGAAGGTTGTTTACGTCGTTAAGAGCTTCACCGGTCGATTGACGTCGATCGTGAGAGAGTGATGGGGTCATAAAGGCTTGGTGGCCGACGTTGAGGGTCGGATTTAAACCTCTCAGCTTAGTAGAGAGAAAGAATGAGAAAGTGAGATAGGAAGGGGACATGGAGGTTTTTTGACCGTTTAAGTGGTTCGACCGGTCCTCCTCTATCGTGGTAAAGGTCGCAGTGGGTGTAGGCCAGTCACTGTCCCGGTGGCTAGCGTGTGAGGGTCAGTGTGTAGTCGACGAGAGTGCGTTTGAAGCTTTGATAATTTCCTGGCAGAGTTACGTAAATGAGGGAGAATGTTTTATGTTTAAAAAAGGGTAAATCACAAATAAGGTCCCCAATTTCTAGGAGCTTTCTGCTTTGTTCCTCTATTTTAGGGTCAAATCGTAGTTCAAGTCCTCCCAGTTTCAGCGTGTTTTACGCTTTGGTCACTATTAGGGTAAAATTATCTTTAAGCTCCCTGTATTTTAGTTTCTTTTGCACTCTGGTCATTTACTTTGTTATTTTTCTCGAATATGCATATTGATTTTATTAACTTTCGATTTTGTCATTATTTTTGGTATTTTATTCGTTATAATTTAGATGTTGTTTTATTATTTGTTGCATTTTGGTCATTGTACCTATCTTTTCTAATTTATTGCATTTTTATCATTCTATTCTATTTTATTTTAATTTAGTCACTATTATTATTCTGATTTGTTCGAATTTTGTCACTATTTTTTATGTTTATTCATTTTAGCCACTGTTTGGATTCTACTTCTTGTTTTATTATGATTTGAATGTGATATTTACAATTTATTCATTTTATTCACTTTTAATTTCTTATTTAACTATTAACTTTTATTTTCTTTCATTTTAGTCAATGTAATTAGATTTTATGCAATTAGGTCCTTGTACTTATTTTATTTTTTATTTTATGATGCTTTTTACTACTTTTATTTTATTTATTTTTTGTTTTTTAATTATTTTAACTAATTTTATTATTAATTGATTTGTTTCATGATTTATTTTCTTAGATTTAGTTTTAAATTAGATTAATATTCGAATCAAGTTTAGAAATTAGGATTTCACATTAGTTTTAATTAGGGAGCAATTTGAGTCGAGTTTTAGCATAAGATGCCCAATTACTCGAATCGATTGCTCGAATTTTAAAATTTATCAATAATTAATATTTTCTAAAAATACTTTAAGTTTAATAATTTAGATAAAAATTATATTTTTATTTAGTCCTTAACTTTAGAAATTATCAACTTAGGTCCTAAGTTTTTAGATCTTGACCTTTAGTCCCCGAATTTCGATTATAATTTTATTTTTGACATAATTAATTAAGATTAATATTAGGACCTCCATCTTAGGCTTGATTCCACATTTAGTCCTTTAATTAGGTGAATTCTTAATTTGGTCTTCTCTTTTGCTCGAGGTTCTAATTTAATTATTCGAAATAATATTTATTAAAATTAATTTAAGGTAATGATAGAGCCTCCACTTTTAATTAGATTTCAAACTAGTCTTTTAATTTAGGGAATAATTCGAGGTGTCCCTCGCTTAAATGATAGAAGGACCATCTCGATTATTTGATTCGATAATTTATAGGATTAATATTAGAACATACACATCTAGATTTTTGCCTTTAGGTTCTGTAACTTTCATAATTTGGCACCTTAGGTTAGAAAAAAGCCTTAATTTACTTTTAGTTTAATTAGGATGAATAAAATTTTGTCTCATTGCATTTTATTTATAAATCTAAGGTAATGTTCACTTATTAGGGAATTAATTGTATATCTCCCTACAACGCCAAAAAATTGGTACCTAGTTGATTACCCTATATTTAGAATTAAAAATTTTGAGTTTGTACTTTATCTAATTTAAAAATCATACGGATACAAAGTTGAAAAGAGTATTCTTTTATTAAAGTTAATAGCATTCGCCCCTAGCATGAATGCGGGAGATCAACTATTGTGCCTAATAATCAGGCATTGCCTCATATTTTAGAAATCATGATGCGATCTTGAAAAGGATGTCGACCTATTTTGGGAATCACTAGTAGTCACCCCTTGAGTATACTTGCGAGAGATATACTATTGACTCCCTAATAAGTGACCATTGCATGATGTTTTAAAATATATGAAATTAAACAATTTATTAATCCTAATTATACTAAAGGTAGATTAAGGCTTTCTCTATCTTATAGTGTCAAATTATGAAAATTAAAGAGCCTAGAGGCATAAACCTAAAAAATGTAGGCTCAAATATTAATCCTACTTGATTTTTAAATAGTTATTGAGTCGAATAATCTATATGGCCCCTTAAGCATTTAGGTGAGGGCCAACTTAGATTATTCCCTGAATAAAAATGACTAAATTGAAATCTTGGGCTCTAATATTAACTTAAATTAATTTTAATCAATATCGCAATTCGAATAATTGAAGTGGAACCTCGATCAAAAGGGAGGACCAAATTAAGAATTCTCCTAATTTAAGGACTAAATACGAAATTAGGCCTAAGATGGAGGCTCTAATATTAATCCTAATTAATTTTAATCAATTATACGATCAAATAATTAATTTGGAACCTCGAGCAAAAACAAGGACCAAATAAAGAATTCACCTAATTTAAGGACTAAACCTAAAATAAAAGTAATCTAGATTTGGACTAAAATATTAAAAATGTAAATCAAACTGGGTTTAATTTAAAAAGAAAAATGATCTAACAAGGACTAAGTTAAAAAGAATTTAAAATTGAAGGTAAAATTAAAAAACAATTAATGAATACAAATGGACTAAATTAAAGTGAATCAAAAATGCAAAGCTGAAATTAAAATATTAAGTAAAGGACTAAAATGTAACAAAATAAAAAATAGTAGCAAATCATAAATAAACAATACCAAAATGTATAAATTGAAACTACGACATCATATTCAAAAAAATAAAATAAAGGGACATAATCAATTAATAGCTAAAATGAAACAAAAAAAATCAGTGACTAATTTCAAAGGAATAACATAATAAGCAAGTGACTAAAATAAAGTAATAAAAATCAACATGTCAAAATCAAAAGAATACAAATAAAAAAAATTCAGTGACTAAAGTGTACAAATAAAGTCTAGTGACTAATATCTAAGGAATCTAATCCTATAGGGTTACAACTAAAAATATAATTAATTCAAGGACTAAGATAGGAGAGAATAATTTAGGGATTAAATTGTAATAAAACAATTAAAATTAAGAATTAAGTTACAAATTTACATATTATTCAGGGGCTAAATAATGATTAATAAAATAAAATAAACAAGTGACTAAATTAAAATAAACGCAAAATTAAACATGCAATGTTGTATATAAACGAGGACTAAAATGAAAAAATGTAACAAATGTACAAGGACCTGAAAACAAATAGATCAAAAATTAGTATTAAGATACAAAAGTGGAAAAATCAAGGTATGGACATTAAATTAAAGAAAATAAATGAAATATATTGAAATTGTGGACCAAATTGAACACGGGAGGAAATAGCGAGGACTGCGCGTGTGATTCGACCACCGAAGCCAAAACGCACTGGCATGGGGACCAAAACGGCGTTGTTTTACTCTGAGTATAAATGCACTTTATCTCCTTTTTTTCATTCTTCTTCTTCTTCGTTTTTTAGAGAGAGAAGCTATTCCTTCTCTCTAACTTACGACCGCCCGCCTATCATCTTGTCCATCGCCGGCCGCCGCGTCGTCGTCACGTATGCCATCGTCGGTCGCCACCGTCATCGGTGGCCATTCGGGCCCATATTTTATTGGTTTGCTCGCCTCGACATGGTGGTCAAAGATCCGATCTCGGTTTCGCAGAGAAAGGCCCCCAAAGCCACGAAATAGGTCGAGAACCTCTCAGTTTCCACCGCCCCAATCACCGCCGTCCACCATTGGATCAGGCCGATTTCGAGATATATTGCTCCTATTCCCCTTGTGCTTCTTTTCACCATTGTGATTCACTGTAAGAAGCCCCGGTCGTCGGCGAGTGATCTGGCTGAGAGGTAAAATACTCCTACTCTATATTTTTCTTTTTTTTAATGCAATGTTTGCTTTTAAAAAATAAAAGAACAAAAAACATTTAAAAATGTTTTTTATTGATTCCCTCTGTTTTTCGGAGAAGGAGTCTCTTTACATTGTTGTTGCTTTGGGTTTTATACCCATCTATACATATTTCCGAAATAAAATAAAAATGCTGTTGATATCTGTCTTTGCTTGTTGTTGCGATTTTGCTGGCTGAGCTGGGATCTGGTGGCAGCATGGAGATCTTGCTGATGGCAGGGAGCTGGTGGTACAGTGATCGGGACACTGAATGCCCCGGATATTAGGGGATTGATCACTGCTCTCTCTCTCTCTCTCTATATATATATATATATGGTGAAAATTGGTGATTACAGATACATTGCAATAAGTTGAGGTCTTGTTTTGGATTTGGAGCTGGAGCACGTTGGGAAGTACAAGCCTATTAGAGAGAATATACCTTAGTTGAGGTCTTGCATTTGTTATTATTGGATGTTTCAACCCACATGACTCATGACTTGACTTCGAGGATTATAAAAGCACGACGACTATTTTCTCTCTAGAGATTCCTTCTTCATCTTGCCAAACCCTACTCTCTTTCAGTTTTCTCTACAAATTTCTGTAATTTTCATTTGCAATGGAACTCTAAACATTGTGAACTTCTGTATAGCTTTACTGATCATGCCATGCTCTAATGCATCCGAGAGGAGCTCTCGAGAAGTAACTGATCTAGTTTCCCCGGGATTGTCTATTTATTTTTAACCTTTGAACTAAATGAATGCTATTTCTTTGCTTGGAATTCCTATTGGTATTTTACTTGTTGAGTTAATGGCCTGCATTTTTATTCGTTTAAGCATTCACTATGAGATTAGGTCTGTTTTACACTCTTAGCATATCGAGAGATCATATTGTACTTTAGAAGAGCATCAGCGTAACGAGAGTTCCTAGATAATTCAGAGAGATCTAATTATCATCGAGAGTCATGATATTTTTTAGGTTAGGAGTGCTTAGTGGAGTGGTAGCGAGAGGGTCATTTCCCTAACAAGTTTGCCGCGACCATTAATTCAATAGTTTCGACACTCAGCAAATCCTTCTGGGTAGGGTTAGATCATTTATGTTCCCAAGTCTACGCAGTTGTGAGTTACAAACCTATGTAAGAAAGCCTTCTATATATAGATTGCCATATCTCATTTCTTTACTACTTACAATCTTTATCCATCAATTGATTTACCTTTGCAAGAACTAATTAATTTCGTAACACACTATTAACTGAGTGCAAAATTTAATAACCTAAGCATACTTATGAATGCATCATGCAAAATTTTAAGCAAATTGGACTTCAAAAACTGAGTGAAGATGTTATAATTGTAATTAATATATTAACTGAGTGCAAGATCGTATTTGGGTCTGGACAGAAAGGACATGCTCAGGACTTAGAGGTTTTATAATGCATTATACTAATGAAAAATAATTTTATATCAGTTACATTTGGCCTAATTATTTTTAATATTTGTTATTAAGAGTTTAATTTTTCCTCTATTTATTATTATGGTCTCAATGTTTTTTCTAATATTTATTATTAGAGTTCTACTCTTATAAGTTATTTTTTTCTATTATTTATATAAGTGTCCAATTTTTTTGTAAATATGTTTTCTATTATTTTTTATTAAGGATCCAATGTTTTCAATACTTGTTATCATGGGCTTATTTTTTAATATTTTTATTAGGAGCATATTTTAAAATTTAATTGCTTTTCTAATATTTATTTTTTATTATGATTCCAATTTTTTAGTAATTTTTTAGAGGTCAAATATTTTTTCAATATTTGTTATTATGATCATACTCTTAAAATTTACTTTTTTAAAATATTTGTTATTAGGGACCCATTTTTTCAATACTTGTTACTAGGAACAATTACCTAAATAACGATTTGTAACCACAACAATAGTCGTTATGTAGTGGTAACGACATTGTCCGAAACCACAATATCTACAATCGTTATATTCACAATAACAAATATTATTAAAAATTCACAACCACGAAATTTGCACTAGCCACAATATCATCAATTATTTGTACAATAGCAATAAACACAACATGATTGAAAATACAAATACAATTGCAATTTAGATCCCTGATTAAGGAATCTAATTTTTTAGTTCGTAGGTCACTAAATCAAAAATGGATTTGACTGAGTGAATGATATAGATGGAAGCAGAGTATGTTATATAACTAAGAAATGAAAGGAAGCATTTAAATCCAGATGTTGACGGAATAAATTATGTTTTTGGTGCATGCGACACTGAGTTTCTAACTTTGAGAAGGAAATTTAAGCATTGAAAGTGTCATTTATTTTTGTTCACATGACCCATCAATCAATTTCAAACAAAAACACTGCAGAGAAATAAAGGGGAGTTGGTGGGTCGACTTACTGGAATTTATTTGCTGTTTGTTACTCGATTTTTATTTATGATTTATCGATAGTTTTTTTAGTAATTTTATTTCTTTTTATGGTTCGTTTATCGATGTAATTAGATATATTTGTATTTATATTTTGTTCGAGTTTTTGATTAGAATTTTAATATTTTCCTTGTATGATCCTTATGTGATCTTAAGTGACTAGTTTTTGTGTGATTATAAAATAATATTTTGACTATGTGTTTAGTTTACGATTATGGTTGTAAACTTTCATTATAATTCTAGATATATTTACTTTTTAATAAAACTAGCGGATTTTATAAAAAAACTCTAATTTATTATCCTATAAACTTCTTCTTTAATATAATATTTAGACTATTCAAATTTAATCTCATAAATTAGATAATGATAATGTATTTTTTATGCAAATAGAAATAGTTGATTTATTAAAAAAGATGAAATATTCAAAATTATAATAAAAGTTTACAATTATAATAGTAAAATAAACACATAATTAGGACATATTTATATAGCCATTAACACAAGAAACTAACCACTTGAGATCATAAAAGACCATATAAGAGAAAGATTAAAAACCCATCCAAAAACTCAAACAAAAGATTGATACGAACAAATCTGATTACATTGGTAAACGAATTATAACATGAGATTAAACCACTAAAAGACCACTGACAATCACAAATTACAAATTGAAGTTAAGCCTCATGAGAAAACTATTTCTAAATGCAAACCAGTACCCGATCTAATCTGAATCCAATTTGAAAGGTCCAAAATAAAAAAGATCAACGAATAATAAAGAAGTATGATCTTAATTGATCTACGCATTAACTCATTTAAACGAATCATGTTGAAACTATATATTCAAGCATCTAAGAGTACAATCTTAATAAAATTATTTATTAAGAGATGCAACCAATAAACATGTCAACTCATTAATATCCCCCTATTAAAGTTTTCTTAAAATTTGTTTTCAACTCTACATTTAAATTAGTAATACTAATTAAATTCTAGTTTAATTACATTATCCTGTATAATTTAAACATAGAGTTGACAAAAAAAGTTAATTAAGAAAACTTTAATAGGGGTATTAATGAGTTGACATGTTTATTGGTTGCATCTCTTAATAAATAATTTTATTAACTCTTAGATTCTTGAATTTATTGTTTCAGCTTGATTCGTTTAAATGAGTTAATGCCTAATCTTATTAAATTGTATTTCTTTTTATGTGTAGTAATTGTTTTTCAATTTTCTATAAATAAATTACAAATCTAGCAGGTATCTCATTTATTTATTTTTAATTATTCCTTTGTGTAATAGTCTCCATTAATGAGACAGGATCGTCTCTCTATTTTTTCTTTTACAAAATAATTAATGATGGAACATTACAATCCAAAATTTATAACATCATACAACAAAAGCATTTCATTTTAACAAATACAAAGATTTTAGCTTGAGCTTATGGAGAAAACTTTTAACTTCACAAAGATGATAAAATGAATTATCCTACTTGTAGATACCCATTTTTGTCCGGAATATTATTAATATCTATTATTATTATTATTTATATTACTATTATTATTATCTTTATTATATGTATATGTATATTTTTATTTTTATTATTTTGCAAGCTTTACAAACCCGAAGTCGGCCCATTTACAACAACCCAAGTTGGGCCCCAATTACATTCCAACCCAACAAATTGGGCCCCAATTACATTCCAACCCAACAAATTGGGCCCAACAACAAACCCAACAGAACTAGGCCCAACCCAATGGCACAATTATAAAACTCTAGCCCAGTAGAAATATTTAGGGTTTGGTGAAACCCTAGTCTTCTATTCCAGCCATCGCCGCCGTCGTTGAGAGTCTCCTACCGCCGCCGCCGTTCAGAGTCTCCCGCCATCGCCGCCATTGAGAGTCTCATGCCGTCGCTGTTGAGAGTCTCCCGCCGCCGCCACTATTCTGGCCACTCGATCCCGTCGTCCGACAGTCACCATTTCAGCCATCATCATCATCACCTCAATCAACAGATCAATCAAAAACCAAATATCAATCAAAACCCATTAAAATATTAATAAAATCCCTAAAAATTGGGGAAAATTAATGCATAGGTAGGGAAATCATTCCCCATCAGTCCTAGCTTTAGCAAAACACTCAAAGGAGGACCATAAATCAAGCATGCAAGACCATTCGAAGGGGTTTTTGGATTCGAGAGAAAAAATGAAAGAAAAAAATGAAAAAACAACGAAAAAAGAGAGAAAAAAGAAGAAACTTACCTCGGGT